GGTGTAACGGTGCGGGGCGGCCGGCAGCGAGCGCTGCTGGTTCAAACCCGATGGCGGGACATTCTGTCATCACTGCGTGTTTGAGGGAATGGCAGGGCATTAAGTACCATTTTATACCGGTATTGGGTAACGCCAGGGGGTTCCTGTGCTTCAGAAGTGGAGCTTTCAGGTGTTGTTGATTGCGAACAGGCCGTGTTTCCACAGACACAGGGAGATCCTGTTTATCTGTGGGATCTGGTATATACTGGTATATATCTGGTGTGTATATCTGATATATATATATATATTTCACAACAGGGATTTGGAAACAAGCGGGAGGACTCCTACAGCAGAGCAGGAGCACAGATTGAAACAAAAATACCTTTACAGCCCTTGCAGACTGAAGGCTGGTGGGACACTTTGCAGAGACCCACACAAACTGGGCAGCACTTTCTTCTTCTGGGCTTGGGGCTTCTTGGACAATGGATGACTTGACCTTAGAGAAGCCATGTTGGCTGTCACCAGTCACCTCTTTATTTTCCATGTGCCTGAGCAGGCTTTCCAGGAGGATCCTAGAAGGTAGAGGGGCCCATGAAAGCTGAGATTTGAGGATCACCTTCTCCAGGCCCAAGAGCATTGCATCCCAACTAAGAGGAAGTCAAGTAGAAACTCCAAGAGGCTGACATATTCATGAGGCTGTATTTGAGTAACACGTGCAAGATAAAAATCTGTTTGATGAATAGCAGAAGTAGCTAAACAAGAGTTGTTGTGGGTTTTATTTATTTTAAGCAGCTTCACACAAAAGCAAATCCCCAAGCCCAGCAAGGTTCTTTGGAGAGACTTTCTGAGCATGCATTGACAGGTGTTTTGTTTTGGGTTTTTTTGTGAAGATACTTCGTGGATAGCAAGGCTGAATTTGCATCTTTGCTGTAAAAATGAAACATGGTTCAAAAAACTACAACTTTCTCATGTATTATTTACAGAAACAAAGATGCCTGGTACTCTGGCTTGCAGTTCAGGTCATCATTTACATAGAGGTGGAGCTCTTGTTGTCCAGAAGTTGAGCAGAAAGGACATAGTCACCAGGGACCATGGGTGGCAGTGCACAGCCTCACGTGCTAGGAAGAAGGAACTGTTCAAACAGCACAACTGCAGCTGAAACAAGTATGTAGCTTTGGATCCATACAGTCAGCAGAGGAATACTTCAGTCTTTCTGCCTCTACTTCACCGCATATTCCCATTAATTCCTGGTGCCTAGACTCAAATCTTGAGCAGTTCCAGGAACACATTTGTTTCTTCCTGTTTCCTGATTAACCTTTTTTGGAAAGTTGATTAGAATGGCC